TGAAAATAGATCATCTTATACATTCTTTACAAACACCCTAATTTCTTACAACTTCAATATTTACTAACTGCCTCTGTGGTCTTGTCTTCAACCCTGACCAATTACTTTAACATTGGTTGTTGCTACTTTATCGCTAAGCATGTATCATTTAGAAATAAGAGCTAAGACTGATTGACCTAGAGTTTGCATTTTGTGTTATGGTATATATATTTCTATTCTGTCAAACCTTTGCAATTACAATGGTATACAGACACAACATGACATCAATAAATACAGACATAAATACATGAATACGCATAGCAAAATATGTACACCTGACTGTATCTAACCAGGAGAGCACACATGGGAATTAATATATCTAGTGAAGGTACACAGCTTTCTCAGTTTAGAATTTTTGGTTAGATTCATTAAGCACCAATGTATTAGGGCGAGATACAAACTTTTTATCAATACATTTGTTTCATTTAACTGATCAAATGGCATACCTTCCGGAAGACTAACACGTACAACTTCATCTTATTGTGTCAGTCTAGTATAAGCTGGGATAGTGTTCATGTCACGTTTACATGTTCTTGTCCTTAATATGTATTTGATTTGATTTACCACATGACGCTCCTCCTCCTCCTCCTCCTCCTCCTCCTCCTCATAATTCCTAATGTTTACTCTAATGATGTATAGTTGTTATTTATTGTTATTGTACCCACTCTTAAACGATTTGATGATCTTGTTTTTTTTCTAGATGTACTTGATTCTAAAACATTTGATGTAACTCTAATGATAACGTTACTTAGAAACCTGACCAATTTAATCCCTCCTTATGGTGGATATGACCTGTTGCCATCTCTTAATGAAACAACACCTACCTCAGATTTAGCTAGGATAAAATATTACAGAAACATTCTAGCTCACCTGGATGAGGGTAAAATAGACAATACTATGTTCATCACAGCATGGGACGATATCACTATTTTCGACAGCATTGGATGATATCGTAAGTATAATAGATCTGTTTTTCTCAGTTTGAGATTCTGTTACTACATTTTGTGTGAGTTGGATGGTTCGTTCGTTCGGTGTCATTGATAAAAAGAGATTGGAGATTTGGGGTATACATCAAAAAGACATCAACACAGCAACACAAATTGAACCTCAAACATACAGGTATGGCTTTCAACTATGGGCAAATGATCAAAAATTATGTTAAGCCTTAAATCACCAAGACTCTAATTATCTCTGAATGAAATAAGTGAAGACTAGCAATAGATGAAAACTTTTTTTTGGAAAGATAGTCTTATAAACAGCTAATGGCTTGAGACACGAATACTATATTGTGGCAAGTGTGTCGCCTTGTATAGGTACCTTAATGTTTAGCAAGCTTGTGGCATGGGACAGACACATCAAGGTGGGGCAAGTTTGTCGCTATGGATTGGCATATAAAGGTGTAGCAAATTTGTGTCATGTGACAAACACATCCATAAGTCAAAAACATTAGGATTGAGACAACCAGGTCGTGACTCTAGACAGGCACATGTATATTAAAGGGTTAAACTAGTTGGTATAAGTGAAACATTAATAAAAAAAATGATCACAATTGTTGAATGCAAGCTCAATGTTCTAATCCTGCTGATATCGTACAACGCCACACTGTCATATCGACTAATTTTCGTGTTTTGCCGATGATTTCAAAACAATAATAGATCTATATACTAGGTAGAAACTACTCAAAGCAAACATTATCCCCAATACAAGATCTACAAAAATGCAAATATGACTGAAACTATTGGATAACCCTTCATAGGATTTTCTGCTCTTGCATGACGATTTTTGACTAATTTCAAAACATTGCTTTTTATCTCAAAAAACGGTAGAGACTGTAAACAGTAATAGTGATCAGCAGTACAAAAACTTCACAAAGCAAAATGACTGGAACCATAGGATGACTTGTTATAGGAGATGTTGTCCTTAAATGACAATTTTTATCTTATATTTGTGTTTCTGCATATTATCTGAAAAACTTTAATAGATATATGTAGAAATTTTAAACTTCAAAAAAGATGAGCAATACAAGATTTATAAGAATGCTAAAAGACAATAACCATTGGATGACTTTTGATGGACACTACATGTATTACCCTTTAAGGACGATTTTTGCCTATTATATCTCGAAACTGATAAGCAATTCAAGCTATTTGTCAGGTGAGCAATTCAGACCCGTATGAGCCTTTGTTAAATTACTTATTGGTCATGGAATTTTTTTGTCACACATTTCTAAGCTTTTGTTTTGACGAATTTGGTCTGGAACTTCATAATGAGACATTGTACTGCGTAAAGGTTTTTCAGGTCTGCAAATGCAAGGACTTTTTTTCAATAAACATTAGGGTTTGTAGTATACAGTTTGTGTTTTCAGTAATTCAACAAACATAGCCACAATGGTAAAAAACCATAAATGTAAAATACATTGATTATCTTTACATTGAAAACCATAAATAATCCACAATAAAATCAGGAAAAGATAACAAATGCTCAGAATGTCAAATCTACTTACTTTTTATTGTATGGCTTCTCCAGTAATTCTGTTGTCAAATAAGAACTTTTGGCTAATTTTGATATTGTAACCTATCTTCTAGAAAACAATAAGGAATTATGTACAGCAAAAATGATCAACAATATGATATCTTCAAAAATGACAATGTTAGCTTAATGTTGTTTGTGAATTATCAAGAAAACTATAATAGATAGGTAGGAACTGTTCTTGGCAAAAACGATTAGAAAAACAGGAGCTACAAAATGGCTAATATGCCAGAATTTATTGAATAACTCCTGAGGAGCAATTGCATTAAATGAAAACTTTTATGTGTTGTTCATGTTAGTCCGCAAGCTTCAGTAGTTTTTAATAGTACAACAGATCAGCTCATCAGATCAGACTTATTAAGTTGTTGTCCTTCAAAGTAATTTTCGTATTTTGCCAATTATCTCAAGAACTATTTAAGCCAATGAAAGCTGTACACAGCAAAAATTACCAGCAGTGCATGATTTACAAATTAACCAGCATAACCGAAAACATTGGATTAGTCTACATTGGTAATGACAATGTTTGGTTTACTTTTAAAGTTTTGAAAGATAACTTGAAAACCATAAACATGATGAAGGTAGAAACTGAAAAAAGCTAAAAATGATCAGCAATACCAGAGCTACATAATTGTAAATATGGCATAAACCAGTGGAATTATTGCCCTTTAACATGTTAAATGGCGATTTTAAAATAATTTTGCCTGTTTTTTTTCCAATTATCTCCATAACTATGAAAGATAGGTAGACACTGAATGCAAAAATTTGCATCCATCAACATGGTACAAGACCTATGATTTTCATTTGCATTAACTTTAATACGTTTCCTTAATCCATGTATATTATTTAGACCACAATCTCAGTCAAAGTCCATTGACTGAATTTTTTTTATAATTTTTGGAATAAGGTCACCTTTTCTTCGGACAATGCCTGTACCAAGTTGGAAATATAACAGTTGGTTTCTATTTGTTCCGTTGGTTGATATAGTCGAACGTTTGCTTTTTTGTGGTTTTATGGACTTCCCCCATTTCAAATATACCTTGGACATGTTGGAGTTCGATATTTTTATTGGAGAACCAATAATGCTAAGTAAACGATTATTTGTAGACATTTTATAAACATTAGCATGTCTCATTTCCATAGAGATTATTTTCGGCCCTTCCCATCTATCTTACTTCATTGACTGAAACTTTTGCAAAGTTTAGGTGTTAAGTTTGTGATAAGTGCATTCTAAAACGAACTGATAATGTTAAATCTGTTATATTTGATGGGCAGTTGTATAAGCATTGGCAGATCTCATTCCAACGAGATCCCCCCCCCCCCCCCCCCCCCGCGCTTTAATCAATCATGCTTCATCGAATATATAAGTTTTACTAAATTATCATGTTAAAGATTATGATTACCTCATTTTAATGGAAAGCACTAATGGTAAGTCAATGATATTTTGTTACGCATTAGTATTATCTTGACACGTCTCCGTTGTTTGATAACGTTTGATTTTGTTGGTTTTTATGGACTTTTTCCCTTTTCGAATTTTCCTTTGAGATCGTTATTTTTGTTATACTTCATCTTAGAGGGGTTGTTTTGCCGGTCTATCTTGTTTCATTGACTTTGAACATTTTTCATACTGACATATTAAAGTTTGTGATAAGGTCACTTTAAAGGGAACCAATAATTACAAGTCAATGATACTTGTTAGGCATTTGTATTGGCATTGAGATGTCTCCATTCCTTGAAAATTATTTGGCTCTGTCTCTTCAGTTATAATTTGCTGACTTTGACCTTTTGCATAATTCTTTAAATTTTACATGTTTTATTTGAACTTTTGAATAGTTCTATAAATTATATTTGCAACTTTTAATTAACATTTTATTTTCATTGGGGTTTATTAACCGGCGAATCAACAGTTGACATGACGTTGCCAAGGATTCAGCCGCCATATTGACTGGCTGGAATCCATAAATGTTCAATTATCACTAATACAATAAAATCGAAAATGAAACAAAACCTAAAAAGCTTCATTTAATGAGATTGTTTTTCCAAATTGAAGCGTACAAGTAACGGAACTACCTTAAGCGTAAGGTTTTTTATTATTAGTATGACGTCATGTTTTGCAATGATGTTAATGCGCCAAGTTCATTCATGAAATTTCGAGGAATTTTATCTAATTATGACTTTATATATTTTTCCAAGCGCTACTGCATTCTTTCTATTTGTGATGAATAATAACAGGAATAACAGTTTTGTAGTGTTTCAATATTTCCATTTTTAAGAACCCCAGTAATCCCATGCATGTGAACCACGCATGAAGAGGTAAGCAAAGTAGTTTCGGCAACATCGTCTATCGAATGTAAACCAAGGGGACAATTCTAACGGATTAATCCCATTTAAGTATTTGAAGATATGCAAATCATATGTGAATTAATTACTGGTAAATCATGTATCAATTACACTTGTCCTCAACCAACTTCTACTCAATTTTCCAGGCGATCGGCAGATTAGGTGGCCACCCAATGAAGCAGGAGTGTGATAAAGTGAAAACAAAGATATTGGATCAGACAAACCAAGAAATAATGTTAGACATTAAACGTTCAAATGATGAAATTAAAGAATTAAAACAATCAGTCGAAAGTTTAAAAATAGCAAATGCTGATTTTACAATGGAAGTCGAAAAGTTAAAAGATACTGTGCCTTGGAATGTCAGAGGTAAACATGTAGAAGTCAAGTTGTTGATTTAGAAAGTCAGTTAAATTCATCTATTGATCAGTTGGAATGTTGGAGGAAATCCTCTGATGTTAAGGTAATATTTTTGTTGATCGGGTTTGAATGTTAAAGCTAAACCTCTTGTGATTATGTTGAAATTTTAGACAGGTTAGTATGTTATCAGGTTAGAATGTTAGAGATAATCCTCTGGCCATCAGGTAAAAATGTTAACGGTAGTTCTCTGGTGATCAGGTTATAATGTTAGAGATAATCTCAGGTGATCAGGTTACAATGTTAACGGTAATTCTCTGATGATAAGGTTAAAATGTCAAAGATAATCCTCTCGCGATCAGATTGCAATGTGAGAGATAATCCTCTGGCGATCAGGTTACAAGTTTAAAAGTTGTTCTCTGGTAATCAGGTTAAAATGTTAAAGACAATCCTCTGGTGATCAGATTGCAATGTGAGAGATAATCCTCTGGCGATCAGGTTACAATGTTAAAAGTAGTTATCTTTTGATTAGGTTAGAATGTTAAGGATAATCCTCTAATGACCAAGTAGGAATGTTAGGGATAATCCTCTGGTGGTCGAGATAATCCTTGGTAATAAGGTTGGAATGGTGATTAAGTTTGAATGTGAGAGAAAATCACCTGGTGATCAGGTTGGAATGTTAAAGGAAATCCTCTGGTGATCAACTCCATTGCATGAATTACAATCCTTCTTCAAGTATCCGTTTCAAATCTAAAAAAAACATTAGCTGTCTTGTGATATGTACAATGTAGTATCATGATTTACAGATACCCGTGGATTATACGAGTAAAATGTAAGTTTTAAGATATTCCAGATAAGTTAATGAAATATTAATAAAATGCCACCAAGATCAACTACAACATTTCATGACAATCATTAATGCATTTACTTTGATTTTACCTTATGCATTTAATTCCAAAATATCATATATATCATGTATATCATGTATATGTATGGACCTAATAGTAATTTACCTAATAATTCCAAAGCAGATGTTTTTGTATCCTCACAGGTAGGCGTAAAAACTAATTATTTTTCTAAATACAGTTTAAGTGGTACATAGTATTTTATGGAACAGGCTTTAATTGAAAATATATTATCATTTATCATCTGTACAAAAACATTGTGTGATTGTAACGACTTACACAAAATGTCAGAAATGTGTTTTTGTCATAAGAAGTCTTGTTCTTCTTGTCTGCGATATATGTGCTTATAGAGTTAACATAAAGTAAAAAAAAAGTCGTAAATGAAAACATTGATATTTAGAAGTTATTATGAGGTATTTACTGTAAGACTTTACATCTCTGTTTGTTTGAAATTTATTCATGTTTATTGACCCATATTTAAAACTGAATCAATGTAAAGTCAATATCCCGTAATACATAATACATAATAGTATCCATAATTTAACCCTAAAAATAAATTGAATGTTTATGATAATTTGATCGTGTTACTACCGTGAATATTTAACATATCTAACACAGCAATATAAAAATGTGTTGTACATGTTAACGAAACAGAAACAGAAACCCAACAACATGAAAACACGAAAACTACACTGAAAAATAGGAATTAGTGTGGATAAAATAGGCAAAGTTCTAAAACAACACCGATAAACAAATGATGAATCTCTTGTTAATTGTATTGAAGACATATACAATTTACAAAATGAATATAAATAGATGCCGGTCATGTATCATTGAAATAACGCAAAAATTCAAAAAAATGTATATCTTTATTAAAACAACTGGTTTCATTTAATAGAAAGTCTCTGATAGACCTAATAATGTTGTGTGTCCAACCTGGTTTAACTAGCAAATTTTGTTTGTTTGTTTTTTTTTATTTTATCAAAAACCAATATCTAGCCAGGAAATTAAACCGTAAGAAATTATATGAACTAGGGAATGAATTAGATAAAGTTCGTAATGCGTATTTAACAATTTATATTTAAGCACAATTCAATCAGATCCTTATTGAGTGGAAGGAAAATGACAGGATGTTTATAACAACCAGAGCTGCCAAACATGTACTGACATGTATAAAGGAGAACAGCTGTGTGACTATTACTGCTAGTTCCGGTGTTGGTAAGACGGCCACACTCCGACATGTGGTATTACAGATGGCTGCAGAAGGGTTCGATGTACTGCTAGTGACAAACCCAGGTGACATTGTCAAGTTTTATAACCCGAACCACAAAACATTGTTTGTTATAGATGATTTATGTGGGAACTACTCTTTAAACCAGACTGATATAAAAATTTGGGAACCATTCATTGATCGAATTACAAAGATTCTTACAAAAAACCTTGCTAAGATAATTACAGCTTGTCGATTCCAAGTGTATCAGGATGACAAATTCAAATCTTTATCAATTTTCAAATCATGTGTATGTAACCTTTTATCAGATAGCATGTGCTTGACAAAAGTTGAAAAAGAGTCAATAGCTGAAATATATCTTAAAACTAAAGCTCTTGATGTTACAGATTGTTATGATTTATATGATTGCTTCCCACTTTTGTGCAAATTGTATCGAGAAAATCCTTCACTTGATATCAGAGATTTCTTTTGTAAGCCTTTTTCAGTTTATGAACAGGAGATTGACATGCTGCAGATAAAAGGATTTCCCAGTAAATACTGTGCTTTGGCTTTATGTGTGATATTTAACAACAATTTAATGGAAGAAACGTTAACAGAGGAGGTGAATGAAGAAACAAGAGCCATCATTGAGAATACATTTGAGGCATGTAAACTGGACAGAGGAACCTCAAGGCTTGTAATACAGGATGAACTGAACTCATTAATACACACATTCCTGAAAAAAGAACAAAACATATACAAAACAATTCATGATAAAATATTTGACTTCTTAGTGTACTACTTCGGAAAGAAAATAATCAACTGTTTAATAAAGAATGCACATAGTGGTTTGATCAACGAAAGATTTTTGTTACAAAAACAAGAGAATGCGGATCAGTTTATATCAATTGTACCTCCTAAGTATCATCAAAGGTTCATACAAAGAATGATTGATGACTGGTCAAAGGGTGAGGTTATCGAAGTGTTTTGTAACATGAATATGGAAATACCTCAGTTCAAACAGAGACTTCTCAGTTATTTGAATGGACTAGAAACATCTTACCAAAGACAATTAGCACACACCTGTGATGTACATTATGATGATACTGTACTGTTACAGTTATGTTTTGATGGTCATATTCCTATGATTTCTTGGTGCTTTAATCATAGTGTTGATGTTAATCAATGTAGAAATAATGAGATGACCCCATTGCATGTTGCTGTTAGTAAGTGTTCGACAAAAATAGTAAGGATGTTGTTAGACATAAGAGCCGATTATAATAAATGTGAAAGCAGTGGTTGGTCCCCTGTAATGAGGGCTTCTTTTGAGGGACATACAGAAATAGTAAGGATATTGTTAGATGTAGGAGCAAATTATAATAAATGTGAAAATGATGGCTGGTCACCTTTAATGTTTGCTTGTACACATGGACATACAGAAATAGTAAGCATGTTGTTAGACATAGGAGCAGATTATGATAAATGTGCAAATGATGGTTGGTCACCTGTAATGCTTGCTTGTAGTAATGGACATACAGAAATAGTGAAAATGTTGCTAGACATAGGAGCAGATTATAATAAATGCGGTAATGATGGTTGGTCACCTGTAATATGTGCGTGTAGTGAGGGTCATACAAAAATACTGAGGATGTTGTTAGACATAGGAGCAGATTATAATAAATGTAAACATGATGGTTGGTCCCCTGTAATGTTTTCTTGTAGTTGTGGATATACAGAAATAGTAAGGATATTGTTAGATGTAGGAGCAAATTATAATAAATGTGAAAATGATGGCTGGTCACCTTTAATGGTTGCTTGTACATATGGACATACAGAAATAGTAAGCATGTTGTTAGACATAGGAGCAGATTACGATAAATGTGAAAATGATGGTTGGTCACCTGTAATGCTTGCTTGTAGTAATGGACATACAGAAATAGTGAGAATGTTGCTAGACATAGGAGCAGATTATAATAAATGCGGTAATGATGGTTGGTCACCTGTAATATGTGCGTGTAGTGAGGGACATACAAACATAGTGAGTATGTTGTTAGACATAGGAGCAGATTATAATAAATGTAAACATGATGGTTGGTCACCTGTTATGTTTTCTTGTAGTTGTGGATATACAGAACTAGTACGGATGTTGCTAGACATAGGAGCAGATTACAATGAATGTGAAAATGATGGTTGGTCACCTTAAATGTTTGCATGTAGTGAGGGACATAAAAAAATAGTTAGGATGTTGTTAGACATTGGAGCATATTTCAATAAATGTGGAAATGATGGTTGGTCACCTGTAATACTTGCTTGTAGTGAGGGACATACAGAAATCGTAAGGATGTTGTTAGACATAGGAGCAGATTATGATAAATGTAACAATGAGGGTTGGTCACCTATAATGTGTGCTTGTAGAAAGAAACACAAAGAAATAGTAGATATGTTATTAGACATAGGAGCAGATTATGGTAAATGTGAAAATAATGGTTGGTCACCCGTAATGTTTGCTTGCAGTAACGATCATACAGAAATATTAAGGATGTTGTTAGACATAGGATCAGATTATAATAAATGCAAACATGATGGTTGGTCACCCGTTATGCTTGCTTGTAGTGAAGGACATACAAAAATAGTAAGGATGTTGTTAGACATAGGAGCAGATTATAACAAAAGTGAAAATGATGGCTGGTCACCAGTTAGGTTTGCTTGTAGTGAGGGACATACAGAAATAGTAAGAATGTTGTTAGACATAGGAGCAGACTTTAATAAATGTGAAAATGATGGTTGGTCACCTGTTATGTGTGCTTGTAGAAAGGAATATACAGAAATAGTACGGATGTTGTTAGACAAAGCAGCAGATTATAATATATGTGAAAATGATGGTTGGTCACCTGTAATGTGTGCTTGTGTTCAGGGACATACAGAAATATAAGAATGTTGTTAGACATAGGAGCAGATTATGCTAAATGTAAAAATGATGGTTGGTCACCTCTTATATGTGTGCTTGTAGTGAGGGACATACAGAAATAGTGAGGATGTTATTAGATATAGGAGCAAATTATAATATATGTGAAATAAATGGTTGGTCACCTCTAATGTTTGCTTGTAGATATGGTTTTACAGAAATAGTAAGGATGTTGTTATGCATGGGAGTAGATTACAATAAGTGTGACAAATATGGTCGGTCATCTGTAATAATTGCATCTGAAAGATATCATAGTGATATAGTTAGTGCTATAAATGAACATTCAATGAATCAAACAGGTACATAACATTATTAAAACAGGAAAACATGGTACGATTTCCAGTAAGTCAACAACAATCTACCTGAGGTCTGAAATGTGAACAACTATAAGTAACAGCGTGACATTTAACTCATTAGTAAAACCCATGTTGTATATTAAGCTATCAAAGGCCGAACAAAACAAAATATTAAATATTTAAGTTAATTACAGTTAATAAATGTATATATATTAACCAGTCAATGTCCTTTTCCTTAAATCTTCATACATAACTCTTAAGTGTGGATAACGAATAATTGCCTTTATATTGTTTTATGTTAAAGTGTTGTGAATCGGGTTGAAAATTATATCAAGTAATTAGACAGCACCGATTCAATGTTCACTTACATCTGGGTTTAATCTAAACATTATTTTGTTAAAATAAATCCTGATGTAATAAATGTGCATATATATATTTATACATATAGTATTGAAGTGTTGACTTAAAAAACATACAGGTGCATAACTGCAGTGTAGAAAGGGTGAATGTCCAGAATTGTCAATCGCAAATTATTGTTTCTCTGAGGGCTTAGTCCGACGTGAAATAAATGCTCAGGGTTGACAATATTGATTATGCGCCACTTCTAAGGGGTCACATTTGTTTAATTAGACCAAACTAGCGTTATAAGGGCCTTTCGAAACTTTGAAAATACATCCGTCAAACCGCAATAAATCAAATCTGCTGTAAACAATTCTTGTGAAATGTTAGCTTTCACTAACTTTAGGATCAATGTGTATCATCGCCACCAGAAATTGGATACCAACGAAGCGGAGAGAAAGGAGAAAAAAACTCGGTAAGAATTCCAGGACCTTTAATTTAAATCCCTTCTATCGTTTTGGAGAGATTACCGCTTATGAAACGATTTTCTGATATATAGTGCTTTTTATGCTAACAAGTAGCAAACAAAGACTAGATTTCTGTTATACTCTAAACCGGTGCCCTTTGGTACCAGAAAATGTGAGGTCGATCGCCCTCCGACTATTTCCATATGTCGTGTGTTTAATGTGCTTCGGATGAGTGTCGCTATCAATTGAGTAAAAGTTCAAATTAAAGTTTGAGTTGTTGTTCAGAGTTATTTGGTATGAAACGGCAGACAAAAATAAGAAGAAAAGTACAAAACAAATACCAATATTTCGGACATAAGGGAGTTATCCCCAAATCACTTGGTCCTGCCGTTTTTTTCCCCTTAGTTCTCAAATGGAAGCACTATTACAATAAATTCGTGAAGAATTCCACGGAACCTTGTGTCTCGCCTGAGATTACTGCTGTCATTGTAAAAGTGTAATGTTGACTGTAAAACGTCCATTTATCGGTAAAAAACAAAATTAAAAAAATAGTTTTTCTGTACATGCTTTATCTCGATATAGAAGATTAACTCCTATACAAGTTTTATAACAATTCATGGAGGTTTACAAATTTGTTATGACAAAATAGTTTAATTTGGTAATATTTAATGCAAATAAAACTTATATAAAAATAAGAAGATGTGGTACGATTGCCAATGAGACAACTCTCCACCACACACCAAATGACGTAGCAGTTAACAACTATATGTCACTGTATGGTCTCCAACAATGAGCAAAACCCATACCGCATAGTAAGCTATAACAGGTCCAGAAATGATAAATGTAAAAACAATTCAAACGAGTAACCTAACGATCTAAATGATGAAGACGCCGACGACGGAATACAGGTTTGTTGTGTCTCACTTCCGTGACATTAATATCGCAGGCTGGACACAATCAAATGACTTGTACTTTATTGTCAACAAATGAGACACTTTCAATCAACTCAAACTAAAGTTACAGTGAAATGGGGGGATCGGACTAAGCGACAAAGCATCAATTCTATAAAATAAGAATTCTCCGATTTTTTTAGCGTGTATTATTATTTGAACATATACGAAAATGAATCTTTTAATAAATATTTTTATAAATTCCATTCTCTGATATACCTAATATACTTAATTGAAAAAAAAAACAAATTGGAATATCTGTTTCACAGGTGACGACGGATATGTTCCAGTTGTCGTAACCACAATCCCGTCCTCTGTTTCTCGAATGTGACTCACCGAATTAGACCAAATCACTGGGTTTGTACTTTCACGAATAACACGACGGGTGCCACACGTTGAGCAGGATCTGCTTACTCTTTGGGATCACCCCAGGGTTTTGATGGATTTATATTGCCCAGTCATACCGATCTATAGAGTTAAGCCAATTGCATCTGATTTTTACAGATTCTTGAGTTATGCTGTTACACTATTCACCCATGGAAGGGTTAGGGTTTAGCGCTCACAGACATGTTTACCTCCGCGTGTCCCAAGTCAGTAGCATGTAATTCAACGGTTGTCGTTGTTTCATGTGTGTCATCTTTGTTTTTCGTAAGTTGTTTAGTTATTAGTTACGGGTGTCTATAATTGCTTACATCCACTGAATTAAAACTCTGGTGGATTGTTGTCTCATTGGCAATCACACCACATCTAACTTTATTTCGTTTCTATGTGGTGTTTTGTATACTGTAACATTGTTTATCTTTTGTACGCATACCCTTTAACCCTTTTTTCGGAAGCCCGAGCAAAAGCCTTTGATCGGCGATAAAAAATTTAAATACGAACTCATATTAGATAACTAGTAATTTCATCTCGAAATCTTAATCTAAATGAGACTCAAATTCGAAGTCTTACTCGATCTCTACCTCAAAATGTAACTCAAACTCGAAGTTCAACTAGAAACTCAATGCCTACTCGAACTTTAATTTTAATTATGACTTGAATTCTAATTCTAAGTTTAAATCGAAGACTTACTCGAAGTTTAATTCGAACAGTAACCCGAACTTTATTTGAACTCTAACTCGATTGATTGCCACTCATCCGAGGCAAATAAAACATAGAAATCGGTTTTAAAAATAGAACTAGTTTTTCCCAAACAGGCACGTGGTTTTACCTCATCAAGTAATGTGATAACCACATCAACGAATGACAGAACCACATCAAATACTGGAACGAACACATCATGTAGTGTAAAACGTCAAATTTTGAAACATCATTATGTAATTTAAAGCCATATAAGGAATCGGCAAATCATCATTACGAAATAACAAAACCACATCATGTAATGAAACAACTACATTACGTTAAGCCACATACACATCAAATAATGTTAAAACCACATTGCCTTATAACACATAGATATAGGAAGATATGGTATGAGTGCCAATAAGACAACTCTCAATCCAAGTTACAATTTATAAAAGTAAACCATTATAGGTCAAGGTACGGCCTTCAACACGGAGCATTGGCTCACACCGAACAGCAAGCTATAAAGGGCCCCAAAACATTACTAGTGTAAAACCATTCAAACGGAAAAATCAACGGTCTAATCTATATAAAAATGAGAAACGAGAAACACGTATGAACTACACAAACAGACGACAACTACTGTAATCCGATTCCTGACTTAGGACAGGTGCAAACATTTGCAGCGGGATTAAACGTTTTAATGGTACCAAACCTTCTCCCTTTTACCACATTAAATAATGATGAAACCACATCGAGTAATGAAAAAACCATATCAAGTCCATACGAAACCATATAATGTAATATCGAAATATCATTAAGTAATCACTATTCCATATTGAGTAATATCAAAACATCATTACGTAATGTCAAAACCATATTATGTAACTACAAAATATCATGAACATAACGTAATATCAGAGTACCACATAAGACAGCTTTGTCAGTATTTGTTGATGGTACGAAATGGTCTATGTTTATGGTCCGATAAGGTAAATTTATGGCACAAAATGGTACTTTGGCATCAATTGGTTATGGTAAGATATGACTTGAGTTGGTGAAAACACAGATTCAGGGTACTATCAACAAATCACTGACTAACGGACATACAAGGCTAACCATTACTAAAATAATTCGCCCTACATTATCATTGAGAAAAACACAGAAAGAATAGAAAAACATAGACAACAAAGGGTTACATGAAGATATGTGTTAAATAACTGGACAGGTATTAAGGTTTGAATAGGTCAAATAATTCGAACGAACTGCATACACAATACGATAAACAAACACAGACAGAGAGAGAGAGAGAGAGAATTAGTCCTTATCTTGTAATGATGACCTCACATTTTGCATTAGTTATCTCATGACCAATATAACCTTTACCTTATTGACGATTCTTATCAATATACAAGCCTGGCTAAATAGGTTAAAATGGTCTCATTTGGTTTTGTCATTTATCTTTTAATTTTGTCATACGAAAGCTTGGTTAAAGCATCCGATGCTATCTGGACAAAAGACCAATTAGATGTACTTCATACGATTAAATCTGCATACGGTAAGTTGTGACTTTATCTTGATACAAGCAAGCAAGATTATCAATTACAGATATTTAATCAAGCGGCATGACATGTGGATGACCTTGATAGACTTTTATTAAGAAAGATAAATGCACAAAAACTTAAACACAGTACTGCAATATACAGAACAGTGCACTGATTCTTTTTCCAGTATACTTTTTTTCACTTTTGAAAGGCAAATTCTAGTATATAGATGATAGATAACCGAAGAGATTGCGCTATAAGGTAAAACCAGCGGACTATTGGAGCAATACCGCAACAGTAAAACGAGTGGAAATTTGGGTCACTGTCAACAGATGCACCCTGAATCTCATAATAATCATGTATCTAGAAATTGAAATGATTACTAACACTTTCTCCATAGCCCTAATATACAGAAAAAAACTGTGTGTGGCATTCTCTCTATACAAATTGAACATGAGTTTTATGACCTTTCTAAGCCGACAGTGGTAGCTGCACATAGCCAATAATATTTGTAAGAATAGAAAAATAAGTTGCATACTAAGAAACCTACTTTTTCTAAGAGTGAATTTTTAGTAACAGTGACTTTGACTCCAAAAGCGATACCATGTTAATAACAAAAATAGAAAAAAAAACATTTAGGGAGAAAGGGTTAAAAAATACTCTTCAAAGATAACAGGCTTATAATTTCGTACGCCAGATGCGCGTTTCGTATTCACAAGACTCATCAGCGACGCCTAATGAAATAGTTTAAAGGCTGAGGAAAGAATGAAGTTAAAGACCATTAAAGACCAAAAATTAGAAAAAGTTTTCCCTAATAAATCTAAAGTGTATTAAAAAATGCCAAAATTTAACTATGTCGCAAAAGCACATGCTAAGATTATGCCACGTTTTCTATGGTAAGGGACAATGAACAGTTTTTATAAGTTGGCAAATGTGCATTTGGCGCAAAAGGGAAGACAAAGGTTACATAAGAAACCATTTATTCAATTAAGTCTGCTTGTTTTATCTTTTTAGATGAAATGAAAGCAGAAGTTTCAACGTTGAAGGAAGAACTGGCAGAAATGAAGGAAAAAAGTACGTAGGACTAGCACACAACTTTTCGCCGCCAACAAATTACCACAAATAACATAGATAACAAGAAATGATTGTAATAGGATGCTGTTACGAAGTCTGCCAAACAAAGTCCCCATAAGAATAAACCCATAAGGACTATCCCTGTTATTTATTCAATTCAATAGAATTTCCAATAGTAAACAAATGATTATACCTTAGTTGAGACATAACACATTTCATATGAAATAGATTAACATTCTCGACGAGCTAAGATGATGTGAACCATTTTCTGTATTCAGTAACACATGTTACATTCAAATGAAAACATGCCAGTATTTTAAATTATAGTTTTAACAAAAAAATGTGTGTTAGTGTACAATATCAAATAATGTGCTAGTAAACAGTATAAAATAATGTGTGTCGAATATCATTATGACACACCAGAGCTTCGACCATAAACGAAGAATTTGAAAATTATTGCTTTTCAAGGACTTTTTAAGGAACTGCTTCACAATGAAAAAACATCATTCCGGATTAAAATGTTTTCAGCATATCGTAAAAATCGAATCTTAAATTTCTGTTTTCTATATTTATTTGCATTTACATTATTCCGTAAAATTCGCTACCGGTATTGGTGATCAATTTTTAATTTGAAGAGTCTCGCCACATTTAGAGTTAAGTTTCATCAATTTAGTTATTTCTTTTTTTCTCTCTGAATTTTAGATTCTGAATGCGCCGAGAAAACGAGTTCATATCACAATAAAGGGCCACGATTCTTATTACCCAATGGTCAAACTCCAGTGGCGTTCCACACACATCTTTCTACGAATTTTAACGTCAGTTCTAATCATTCAGTCGCCTACGATGTTGTCAAAGTAAACGTTGGAGATGGTTACAACAGATTCAGTGGTATATTCAAAGCACCAGCAGCGGGATTGTATTTTATCACCAATACAGTAATGTCAATGCCTAATCATGGAATCCATGTTGAGATTGTTAAAAATGGAGTAGCCATTGGCCAGAACTGGGCCGATCGTAACGGGTTCGAAAGCGGAACCATGTCAGTTATTACTGATCTGGACGTGAACGACAGTGTTTGGGTGAGAGATTCGGACGGAGGAACAGAACGGTTAGAGCATGATTACAACAGCTTTTCTGGTTTTCTGATTTATACGGAATATTAGAGAATGAATTTCAAAATAAATCCGTCATGTAATGTACATAGTTATTCATCTTGTGAGGACTTAGTTATATTATATTATTAATGAATTTTCGGAATACTCCTTTTCGGTATCCTTTAATTTTATATGTCATTTTCTCTATTTTTTGTCCTACTTTTTTTTATTTTTTATTTTTATGTCAATTTTTTTCTGTAGATTTAGTCCATTATTCTCTATTATGTAAACCTCATCCAGACCTTCATATATCGTAAATGATTCTTAATGCGAACATTCAAGCCCATAATCATATTACGATCATCGTCCCTCGTATTTATGAATGTGACAAATAAGAAATAAGAAAATGTGGTATGATTGCCAACGAGACGATTTAATTCCCACAGACAAAAGGACAAACATGTAATATATATGTGTTCAGTCTAGGTGGTCGAGTGGTCTAGAGCGCTGGACACGGTGCAGGCGGTGTTGTCTCGATATCCCAATAGCATGAGTTCGAATCCCGGCGAGGAAAAAACAAAAATTTGCTTCCGCAAATTTGAAGATTTAACATTGTTGTGCTGATATTTAGAATAATTATATATATATATAAACAAGTCTGAATTGAAAACAACGTTCAAACCTATGATTGCGTTGGATAAAAACCGCAATTTTTATACGTGTGCATGCAAAACAAATTTCTTGGTAGAGGGGTCTAAATACAGCACAATAACATTTTCCAAAAGACCAAAAAAGTGAAAAAGTATATTTCAACAAAACGCATTTGATTAACAATTCGAACAACTGATGTTCTTAAACCCTGCTGACTGCCATTGGAGATTGCCAAATAAACGTATCACAAGATGTAACAAAAAGGATCTTAAAAATTATCAATTTAATACCAAACAGAAAACAATAAACTTGCCGAAAAGATGGTATACCGCAAATATCAGGTGCAAAAATTTGTACACCATACCCGGATTTCGACAATTAATGTCTCTTCAGTGATATATATTAATATTTAAGATCCATATTGTTACATTTGGTGATAATTTTATTTGGCAATCGCTAATGGCAGTCAGCAGGGTTTTAGAACATCCGTTGTTCGACCTGCTAGTCAAATGCGTTTTGTTAAAATATACTTTGTCACTTTTTTTGGTCTTTTGGAAAATGTTGTTTGTGCTGTATTTAGACCCCTTTACCAAGAAATTTGTTTTGCATGCACACGTATAAAAAATGCGGTTTTTATCCAACGCAATCATAGGTTTGAACGTTGTTTCCAATTTAGACTTGTTTATATTTTTTCCTTTGGGCTTGTATTATCTTTGCCTTCGGGTTTATTAGATCCGTTCATCCTATTTTGACTTCTCAAAATTCAAGAGTCTATCCTACATTGAGGTAAATTGTATGGCTTTCCAAATACCGTATCGATTCCTAACATCACTGAAGAGACATTAATTGTCGAAATCCGGATATGGTATACAAAAACCTTTGCACTTTTTGTTTGCGGTATACCATCTTTTCCGCTAGTTTATTGTTTTCTGTTTAGTATTAAATTGATAATTAAGATCCATTTATTACATCGGTGATCTGTTTATTTGGCAATCGCCAATGGCAATCAGCAGGGTTTAAGAACATTTGTTGTTCGACCTGTTAGTCCAGTGCGTTTTGTTAAAATATACTTTTTCACTTTTTTTACAAAAGTATGTTTTGTTAAAATATACTTTTTCACAAAATGTTGATTGTGCTGTACAGTGGAGATCACTTCTAACCTCTCATTAGAACTGTCAGAATAATCTGTCATAGAACTGTTCTAAACTGTGCTAGAACTGTCAGAATCAGTTCTAGGTAGAACTGACCAAATCAGTTCTAGGTAGAACTGTCAGGATCAGTTCTAGGGTAGAACTGTCTAAAACTGTTCTAGGTAGAACTGACCAAATCAGTTCTAGCCGTAGAACTGACCAAACCTGTCAGGATTGTAGAACAGTTCTAAATGACGTCACTGCAGTTAGGGCATCTCACTGGTCACCATTCAGTGTTATTATTATCGTTGATAAAGCCACACGCAAAATGCCTCCTGTCAAAGTTAACAGAATTTCAATGTATTTGAGACAGCGAATATTATATAATATATATGGATAGAACTGACTAAATCTATTCTAGCCGTAGAACTGACCAAATCAGTTCTAATCGTAGACCTGTTCTAGTCGTAGAACTGTTCTAGCCGTAGAACTGTCTAAAACTGTTCTAAGGTAGAACTGTCAGGATCAGTTCTTGGTAGAACTGTATAAATCAGTTCTAGGTAGAACTGACCAAATCAGTTCTAGGTTAGAACTGTTCTAGCTAGAACTGTCTAAAAGGTGTCAGGATGACAGTTCTATATACTGTCCTAGAACAGTTCTCCTGACAGATTCTGACAGATATGATGAGAGGTTAGAAGTGATTTAGACCCCTCTAACAAGAAATTTGTTTTGCATGCACACGTATAAAAATTACGGATTTTTTTCCAACGCAATCATAGGTTTGAACGTTGTTTTCAATTTAGACTTGTTTATATATATATATAATATATATACACAGGTACCCTATCAGCCTTCAAAGCGAACAGTTTAATACCGCCGCATTCTGTATATGCCTATCCAAAGTCAGGAGCTGTAATTCAGTTGTTGTCCTTTGTCGTGCATATCATATAATTTTGTTTTTCGTTTATTGTTTTGTTTAAAATCAGGCAGTTAGTTTTCTCGTTTGGATTGTTTTACATTTGTCATTTCGGGACCTTCTATACCTTAGTATGCGCTATGGGTTATGCTCATTGTTGAAGGCTGTACGGTGACCTATAGTTGTTAGCTTCTATGTCATTTGGTCTCTGGTGGGCAGTTGTCTCATTGGTAATCACACCACATCTTCTTATTTTTATATAAAACCCGTATCGTATAAAAAGGGCCCGGAATGAGAAAAAATTAATACATGCAATTTAAAAGAGAGAAGATAAAACACGACGTGATTTATACCTTAAACGTTGGCACTGCCAAATGATGCTCCACGAACTGCACATTTAAACGTGTATGAGGGTAGGAATGGGGTACTCCACATGACGAATGACGGTAAAATATTTGCTAAAACAACGTTACCGATAAACGTTTTATCCATTTTGACACTAACCGTAGCTACAACATGAGAAATGACGAATGACGATAAAAAATTAAAGCTCATTTGAGTCTAACGGTAGTGGAAATCGGACGTTAGACGCTTGACGATAAAGGGCATTCCTACCCTCGTGTAGGTATGATTTGAGGGATTACTTGACATGTACGCAGTATTGCTACCGTTTCACCTGTATATAAAGCATGATAAATGATAAATGTATCGTGGAATATCACCTCTAAACCAATTCTAAACAAATTACACTTCAACCTTGACTTAGGCTGTTGGCACCAAAATCAACACGCTTCTTCCTCGTTCCTATTTATACAATCTGTATAAGTTTTAATTCAATCAAGCAGCAAGTTATCATCAAGTATGTATACGTGGGCTGGTCATATTTCCTGCTTCATGTTAGGAATCTCGTCAATATATGTCGTATGCATATGTCAAATCATCAATAATTCTTTTTTCTTATATGTGATTACCTCTGTTTTATGTCAGGAACTTCGTCAATATTTTTCGCATGTCAAATCATCAATAATTCTATTCTTTATTTACATAATAGTTATTGAAAACTGGTCAGTATCGTGATATATGGGCTGCCCACAGGACAGTGATATTGACTAAGACAACGATAATGACTGAGCCGTAGGCGAGGTCATTATCGCTGTCGCAGTCAATACCACTGTCCTACGGGCAGTCCATGTATCACGATAATGATCAGTTCTCCAATAATTAAATGTTTATTTCATTGAGGAACCATGTTTTTGAAAATTCTTATACATTTAAATTGTTCAAAGCAAACTCGAGTTATTGTACGAGTTCTATAGGAAAGAGTGAAAACCAAACATAGTGATAACTATAAGTCACTGCCATTCAAACAAGTGCAATTTTTCAGTATATGAATACAAAATGAATATTTCTATAATTTTATTATTAACGAAAACATATGGTATACAATTCATCAACTTCAATATAAAATTGAAAACAGGAAGATATTTTATTAAAGGGACATCTCTCTTATCTGAGAAACCACGCCCTACCGGTCATTAACATGTAAACTCGGGGCGAACACGCAACCAGGAGACCACCGAGGCGGTTCAATTTTTATAGGCTGGACGATAACCAATTGACATAATGTAGGGATGCCTGTTTTTTTTTTAAACCGTATCTTGCCCTCTAGATGTCTTTTGGTGATTTTTGTTGTCGGGTTGCTGTCTCGTTGATGTATACTCCACATATTCTTTTATTCATATTTGACAAAATAATCATAGTATTACTTAACCTATCAAACTCAATGTAATTTTATACATTTAACCATTTATGTTTGTTATTAAAAATATAGAGACCATGTTTTATGTAAAAAGGTAAATTTCTAGACAAACTAATCAATAATAAAATTGAACGAGCATATGACTTTCTTTATTGAGACAAGTATGTAGAAACTGTTAAGACGGGAATGAAGGCAAGAATATTCGGCAATTACCAATATGGAACTGTTTCCAGTTTAGACATCATTCTCAATTTCTTCGATTATTAATGAGAACCGTTTATTACTAAATAGTTGAATAATTAACAATGAGTTTTGTTTTTTTCTGGATTTATCTATTTATTATTGTCAGACTTGTCGGTGAAATATTTGCCACTGGGGATTACACAATCAATAATTAATAAATCCTAAAGTGGGTCCTGAATATGCATGGTATATTTGGTACTGGAAGTTCAGCAAATAAAAAACAATCAACTCTGAAAGGTTGGAGTTGAGCTGGCTCGCATTGTCGGCTGTCAGATAATGTATTCTGTAACATTATAAATGTAATATCACAAATACAATTGTAGATAAAATTTATTAAAAAATATTCAGTATTTCCTCATCATAATATTTGTCGATTTTAAGCCGTAGTCATCGCCATGCCATGAATGCCATACAACTGACTTGTCTCCACTAACACTGTAATCGATTCGACCAGGCAGGTATTTACCATTCAGATTGGATGCATAACACCACTTATACCACCAGGCCCCACCATGAAATTCTGCACAGTTTTTTACAGAAGAAATGTCATTGTCTCTGTCGAAGGTAGAAAACTTCATACCATTGTGTGCTAGTAAAGAATCTCCTGAAATATAATTGTGTTTGACTTTCGTGTAAGAGAGGCTTTTATTGTCATTTAATCAATTTAATACCATATTCAACGTAAAAAAAATGTTCTTATATAAAGAAGAAATAAATTTGCCAATGGGATTACGTAAATGACAGCAAACCAAATACACGACAATTAGCATCCAACATTGACCAAAGGATGATAAAGGATTTAAATTAAATGTATCCTTGTTTGGCTGTTATTTAGACGAATTATATATATATAATAAGTACGTCTGAACCAGTGACAACTCTACGACATATTTTATCCATCGGATCACCAGTGATCGTGATACAAGGCTGAAAACACATTCTGTATATATAATTCGTCTAAATAACAGCCCAACACTGTTAGATCTGTAAATTTTGTTCTTCCCTTGCCGGGATTCGAACTCATGCTACTGAGAATCGTGGCACCAAATCGCCCTGCACTATGCCCGACGCGCTAGACCACTCGACCACCTAGGCTCGACAAAAAACAAGCTTTCGGTGGCCGGGTGTTACCTTTACTCGTCAGTTTTTATCTAGCGTCGTAACACAGTACATGATATATAAGGCATGAAGATGGAATATTACAGATCAGCTGAATTATCTATCGTAGAGGATCTTACAAGTTAATGATGGCCGAGTGGTCTAGCGCGTCGGGCATAGTGCAAGGCGATTTGGTGCCACGATATCTCAGTAGCATGAGTTGGAATCCCGGCCAGGGAAGAACAAAAATTTGCTTCCGCAAACTTACAGATCTATCATTGTTGGGCTGTTATTTAGACGAATTATGTATACAGAATGTGTTTTCAGCCTTGTATCACCATCACTGGTGATCCGATGGATAAAATCTGTCGTAAAGTTGTCACTGGTGCAGACGTACTTACAATATATATACAATATATATATGATAAAGAGATGAATAAGTACTAATTATGCAACTATCTTGCTGAGGCCAAATGACTTGGATGTATGAAAACATAGGTCATTATTCGGCTTCAACAATGAATGAACAAATCCAGTACCGTTCAGTCAGCTATTATTTAAACAAAATGTGAAATTCATTTGTAATTTAAACCAGAAATCTAAAAGCCTGCTTAGCGCTCAGCCCTCACTCAACCTAAGACAATGGTGTACATTGAACAGCATAACTTAAGAACAAACTGTAAAAAATGACTTTACTTATAATAGCGAAAAGTAGCGCGAAAAATATCTAACAAAAATGAAAACACACATTGTACCGATTTTTAAAGACCAATTCATTTCATGTGCTCATAAATAAAAATTACTTTAGTTATCCTATACTTGTAGGAAGAATTTAAATTTAATTTTCCCTTTTTGCATTAAACTATACTCGGGGAACTGTTATCAAGAAGATAATATATACGTTCATATTTGAACCATGGGCTTTTGTTAACATTTTATAAACTTCCAACTGACATATGCTTGTCCACGTTGAACTTTCCTTCTTAGGATAGCTTCAACATAAGACCGTTTGACTTGAAGACCACTTCTTCGTAGGCAACTATACATTAAATGTGTTGGCGTTAAGCAAATACCAGGCTGATGTACGTAGATTCTTGTGAGACAACAAACCAAATACACAATAACAAGGAGTTGTACGCGTATATTCTCTCGTTTTGGACGGTGACAAAAACACCTCAATACTCAAGAACTTTTATTATCAAAGAGGACATAAACAGAGCAGTAAATCTGTATTAACTTAGGATCGTTTTCTCCCATTCAACATACGGGTCAGAGGCGGATTCAGAGGGGGGGGGGGGGGGGGCAGGGGGGGCAGGGGGCCCGGGTCCCCCCTTTTCTGGGAAAAATTTGGTTGATTATATAGAGAATCACTGAAACATGACCGGAGCGGGCCCCCTCTTAGGCAGTCAGTGGGCCCCCACTTATGAAAATTTCTGGATCCGCCACTGCGGGTATCTGAGACACCCTTATATCTGTCAGATCCAAAAAGATAAAGGAGTGGGAACCAGTCTAATTATAGGTCAGCTTGTCCTGATGGAGTTGGAACCGTAGTTTCTTGCTCATTTTTAAATCAAAGGAGAATTTTACCCTTTGCCCGAGACGTTTCTAAAATGAGGTGTGTCGTACACGGTATTTATCCTTTACGTTGTGCAAAGAATTTTAGAAAACCTCTACATTATACTGCATTTTCTGACAATGTAAAGGTATTCTATATGTTAGTACAAAATCACAGAGCTGACGATTACATCGGGACTTGAACTCCACTATAGCAGTGGTACCGACTTCCTAGAAGAATGACACTTGATGCATGTTATAAATTTTGTTCGTCCATATCGCTTTTCTTGATTTACCTTTATCAAGTACGTAAGTTGACAGACTTAGATTTCATTTTGAAGATATCATTTTTTAACATGTGCTACATGTATCAAGTGTTTTTGTTTTGCATTTTTTTGTATTTTTGGGTATTGAATAGGCGGATGTATATTGCCTTTTGAGTTTAAAATTATCGTTTCGCATGCAATATGATCTGTTTACATCCAAAACATATAAAATAAGTTTGTTTTTACATAAATCACCTTACCAGCATCGCCAGAATAACCATTAACAGCAAGCTGATATCCATCCCGTTCGTCACCGATTGAAAACATTTCATACTCTGCATATCTAACTTGGTTATCGAAGTCGGACAATTCAATTCTTAATGCATGTCTTCCATGGGACGATATTTTGTGTATGTTTTCGTTACCTGAATGAAAAAAACTAGGTATGACACAGCAAAAGAACAGTACAGACATTCACTTATTTCATACTTGATAGTTATCATTTACAAATTGACATTTCTCAATTCCAAGTTGACTTTTCTCACTTCTTACTTGACATTTATCTCTTCCAAGTTTATATTGCTCACTAACTACTTGACATATCGAACTTTCAACTTGACATTTCTCCTCCTAGCTGGACATTTCGAACTTCCAACTTGACATTCCTCACTTCTAACTTGACATTTCGAACTTTCAACTTCATGACATTTCGAAATTCCAACTTGACATTTCAAACTTCCAACTTGACATTTCGAACTTCTAACTTGACATTTCTCATTTCCAACTTGACATTTCAAACTTTCAACTTCTTGAAATTTGAACTTCTTACTTGACATTTCTCCCTTCCAGCTGAACATTTCTCACGTCCAAGTTCACAATTCTCAATTCAAATTTTACATTTCTCAGTTCCAATTTGTGTCTACAGTTTTAGGGATTCGACAACCTGGTCCACTTGACATTTTTTTCAAAATGTGATTGAAGTATTCCATTGAAAAATAAAATTGTGTTTAAAAATTTTAGTTAATATTGTGAAACGATATCATTCAAACTAAAATACCAGTCCAAGACAGTTAAAACGTTCAAATTATTAGAAATTTAACTTTTTGCTTAGTGTTGACTGCTGTCACTGTAACCTCTTTTCTATGTATGTTAATATCTCTTATAGCTTTGCTTTGGTCAATATAAGTCAATTAGTGGGCGAAACTGAAAAAAATGACTTCCCATATGTTTAAATAGGAACAAGCATGTTTGTGGCACCATTTATATCAATCATTCCATCCAATATTGAGGGATATTTTTATTGGATCACCTAAAATGGTTTCCGTTTCAGATCTAGAGCAGACTTCATTTGAAAAGGACCTGTTACATGCCACTGGCGGCCCTTTTGGTGTCTGATTACCAACAAAATGAGGACTTTAATGGATAATGGGCTGTAGAAAATTTCTACCATTTCACAATTATATATATAAGTTTTTATGTTATTTTGTTTTGTCTGTTTGTTGTATTTTTGCGGGTTAGTCATCATGTTGTTTCAAAGAAGAAGATAAGAATTTATATATCCTGAAGGATTTGGGACGGTCGTGTACAATCTGAGTAATGCGTGGACTTAAATGTGTATTTCACTCAGCAAGGTAAACACGGCTTTTGAAGGGCGACCATTCCTATGATTTTGTTTTTTATGAAAACAGATTCTCTCTATTTTTTTATCAAGTTAAAAGTTAATAACCATACACATAAGAAAGGTAAACATCATTTTTTCGTGGCAATAACTTTTATAAGTAGTCGATTGACGATTAAAGTAATATGTTGACTTATTTGTTGTTCTTATAATGCTGATCTTTTTTTCGCTGTTTACAGTTTCTCTCTAGATACAATAGTTAAAATATTGGTAAACAATGTCATCACCGAGGCAATAACTCATTTTAGGTATAGATTGTGAGAATTTAAGTGACTAATTTGGTGATATAATTTTACTTATACTTTGTGCCTCTTATAGTACTTTTTATTTACTATCATATAATAACTAAACACACAAAATGAGTTAAAATCGTCATTAAGGGGCATGCACTCATGCAGATAAGGAGTGGATTGGCGATTATGGTCATTTTGACTTATTTGCAGCTTTTGTAAAGCAGATCAATTTAGCTGTTTAAAGTTTCTATATTTCTTCAAACGTTTTCAACTCTGTTTTATTTTATGTTGCGACGTCTTTTCATTAGATAGATAAACAAAACGAAGATCGTTTATAGAAGACCCGCCAGGCATTATCACCGTCAAATATTAAATCATTGTTCATATGGTTTCAGAGAAGAAGAATAAAATGAAGCAAAGTAAAAACTGAACGAAGAACGAACACAACGCACGCCAAGTGATGGCATAAGATCACGTTTCCCCTAGATTCCGCTTAGCTAAAAAGAAGACCATGTATTGCTTATATCGGAGTTAAATGAAATCAGATCAAACAATATACTCTCTAGTAAGAAATGGTGACCATGCTGGATGTGGGTTCGTCGAACAACCTAAGTGCTCTTCAACTTCGTACTTTATTTGGCCTTTTTAATTTGTTAATTCGAGCGTCACTGATGAGTCTTTTTTAGACAAAACGCGCGTCTGGCGAAAGATTATTGAATGATACAACATTAGTAATAGGAATTCCTTTTGTAAATAGCAGTTACCTAGCCAGTATTCTCCACTGCTATTCCCAAATCCCTCCTTGTAGGCTTCCCATCCGCGGTAAAAATCAGTACATCCGTTGATTCTTCTTTGAATAACCTGTTTTATAATTAAGTTTTCTTCTGAATTATTAGTCTAGGAAGACGGTATTTATTACCACTATTATCCATAACAAGAAATTGGACGGTAAGATTGCTACATATAATTATTATTATGTTTGAGAAGGTAAATGTGCTAGATAAAGGAGAAGGGTCGATTTTACCCCAAAATGCATGCATGACCCCTTATTTCTAGCTCAAATTTCAAGTTAGTATTAAATGCCTATAATCAAAACGCATCTTGTTATAACGATGCCAATAGAAAAAATGTGTTAACTTTTCATAATATATGTACGTCTTGATCAGTTCTCCTCTTATGACGTCACCGTTGATTTGCATGACTGAAAACATTTAAAATCCTTGCGTCGCCAAAAGTGTATCTTATACATATGCTTGCATACATATCTGACTCGACAGATTTTTCGAAGCATGCACTCTATATCTTTTAGGCCTTAATTTGGTTAAAATCCGCAAGATTTTGTCGAGTTTCACAAACATCTTTATTTTTTCCAATCGTAGTGTTCTTATTTTAGAACCAGCAGCCATGTAAACGGGACGTCATACCTTACTTTTAAGTATGATCCCGAAAAATATTTGGTTCATTTTGACTTTATGGTTTCTGGGGATATCATAACGGACCAAAAGAAGTCTCTTTTGAGAAACTTCGGAGGCCATATCATTTCGTCAATCGTTGATAGGTTTATTAATTGATGGGTGATCGCTTTACGCCGCATCAGCACACAAAAGGCTATTTCGCGGCGAGAATTGCACAATAGTTCATTACTGAATATTTTATGATTTTCCGATAAAAAAATAACACTTAATAAATTTGGTGTGTCCGAAATAAAGGCAACAGTAGTATACCGCTGTTCGAAACTCATAAATCGATAGAGATAAAAACAAATCCGGGTTACAAACTAAAACTGAGGGAAACGCATCAAATATAAGAGGAGAACAACGACACAACAAAAACACAACATTAAAATGTAACGAAGCGTTTTCTGGATTTACTTTCATCAGGATCGATCAAAACCCGTAAAAAATGAATGCAAGGGCTGTATAATTACTTAGGAAAATACATCATATAAGGAAACGTAAAAAGAAAAGCCAAAAACCATTAAAGGTAAAACAATCAATTACTTTTTTTGTTTTCTCTATTTCTTTTTTATTAATAGAAATTGAACTAACATCATGTATTAAGTATTCAAATTAGATCCCATATGATAGTTCAGGAAATCCTGGTTCTCATGAGAATATTTTTGAAAACGACAGTGGACAGCAGACGATGAATACCAATGTCATGGGTCCAAGTGAACTTAAGGTAGATGGGGTGTCTAAATTATAATCCATAGAATTTTTTAATAATTTGCCAAAACGTATTTTATATCATGCTTTTTATAAAATAATAATAAAAAGAATGGGTCACGGGGCTTATTTTCACGCTACAGGGTGTGCAAAATTGACAGATTTTGTATAAATTATGCATGGAAACCCAATTTTCTGCCATAAAACGAAAACTACACCATAGAATTTTGAGATAAAATACGAGAAGATAGCTCTAATAGTATGCTTTCAGATAAGAAAAAGAAAAAATAGGGTCACGGGACCCGTTTTCTTGCTACATAATAAAATAGGTAAATTCCTAACACATTCTATTGTAAAAGTAACTTTATCTGAATTATCTGCCCTTACATTTGAGTTGCCTCCCCTTATGTGGCAAAGTTGGAAAAAATAGAATCAAACAAAAGCATTCTGTTTTTTTTTTTTTTGTAATATACAACCAAAAATATGATAAAATATATTATTTTCTATATTGAAATGAAAATTCTTACACATGAATTACCTACTACTCTCAAAACTTGCACCTTTTATTAAAGATCTAGACCGATTGTCTTCTAGTATTTCAAAATCCAAGATGGAGGAAGACACCCTATCTACCTTTAATGAATAAATAGAGAATATCATATGGCTTTTTCAATATCACATCCGTATCAACCCGAGACACCAATATAATCCCAAAAGCTCTGCTCGAGGGATTACATTGGTTATGTGATATTGAAAAAAGCCATATTCACATTATTATATACCTCAAGTAGATGTTTTATATGACATGACGTTATACAGATTAGGGGTTTGATAAAGCCTTTGCAACAGTGACTGATATCGATGACGTGACATCAAACAGATTAAAGGTGTGATAAAGCCTTTGCAACCGTGACTGATATCTATATCATCACGGATGACTGATACAGCACGATTGCCGTTGACCGTATTACACATATAATTTATCTGTATTTACTACTAAGTATATAATAAAGATTAAATAATACCGTCCATTTCCTAGTTTCATTAACGAAACAATAGACCGGAACTGCTGGTAGGACACCGTCAGGATATATATCATACACACCGGTCTTCACATCTGCGATATCTGAACATTCACGTGGTAAAATTGTACCTGTATAATTTGAAAAAAAAAAATGTATTTAATGAATAATGAAATATGACGTCCTTATAAAGAAAATTGCTACCATGGAAGCCGTGCAGTCGAAGTAAAACTAAAAAGACCAAAAGAGAAAAAAAAAAGAAAAAGATGAAACGACAAACAACAGTCCAAAAACATAACACAGAAAACTAAACATCGTGCAAAACGGATTCCACGGAAACCGGAGTTAAACTCATGTATCTTGCCCATAGCAAACACCAATTCGCTGATACGTCGCATCCGGTAATAATTTATTTACAAGGACATCATGTCGGTGTTTTGGCTATACTCACCACAGATGTTCTGAACAACCAATTCATAGTAGCGTCCGCAAATATCTGTACAGAGAACATATCTGTTACAATCTTTGACACGGATATTCCTTAACGATCAATCAATTCATGATGGCATCTGTTAATTCTCGTACAGAAGAGATTCACTGTCAGTTCATGTGAATAGACGTTTTAATGACAGATTTGGAAAAATGGAACTACAAAATGAGTCCACATTTTATTTTCATTTGATTTAAGGACAAAATATACATTTTCATAACTGTTTATCTATTGAATTGATTACGAAGAAAATTGACGCTTTCTCAACCATGGAAACCTTTTATTATGGAATCTCATTATGTACCATATATCAAGTGATTCACGAACGAGACATATCCACCTAATGAAGGAAATGTGGGACTGATTAATGTTTCTTGTTTTGTAAATAAATCTTTTTGTGGTAGGTTTTGAAAAAACAATTTGCCGAAGAAGATCGCGGATTTACTAAAAAAAAATAAACTGTTCCTTATTAAATTTTTATGATTTTACCAGGTCGAGATAATTTTCTGTTGGTATTGAATCTAGTTCTCTGTTCAAACATGAAGTTATGTTATACTTATTAAACAAACTTTTATTTTTGCAACAACAATCCTCTATTTTTTTAGAATACATAGATATTTGAAGATTGAATCTGTGAATGGGCCTAAAAGAATTCGTGCATTCTATAAATATGTCTATCTAGCTGTAGCCAGTTGGTATATTTATCTGATTTTTTTCTGAGAATGTCTCTGGCATTTTTATAACTCATTTACTTTTTGTTACACATATACTGAAATTATCAAATACCGTTTGAAACCGTGTTAAAACAAGGTAAATCACGATTACATAGACTGGTACTATTACAGCATGCGGAACATATCTGCCTTCTTCCCTCAGTTCTCTTTCCAAAAATCGAGCCTGTTAGATGACTGCAAGTCTATATAACATGTATAATATGCTCAGAAAAGGTATTAAAGGAAAGTCTTCGAAAACATTTAAAAACTAACAATGCATTGTAAATACTTCTAATGTATACAGTCCGCCAAAAGTTAAGCACCACCTAAATATAACTGGCATCTTTTTTTTAACTATTGCGAAAAAATATTTATGTTTGGTGTTATGAATTGCCTATCACATACACTAAGAAAATTCATTACGACCAATAAAAATAAACTCCGATCAACACGCCAAGCAATATTTTATTAAAGGTCATTTGCACTTTTTCGAATACACTGTTTCGATGCCTTTAAATCATCTTCATACTGCCCCGCGTACAGGTGAAATTTGACCTTCACCAAGTCACTGTGAAATACAGCAAGGGGTAAGTTATATGTGACTGAACCTTGACAAGCAATTGACATGTCAAATGCCGGTAGGAGCACTAGTTGCATAGGTAACCATTTCAATGTTAAACACACCGTCATTGTCAGATTTTTAAAACGTCATGTTGACACAGGAACTGTAAATGATAGACCAAGGTCCGGAAGATCCCGTTTAACTACCGATCGTGATGACAGACTCCTTATTGGTTGCGCTAAAACCAACCCATTTACTCCTGCCTCACAGCTTAGACACCACAAGCGTCAAGGTGGTCGTGTTAGTGTTCGAACATTGGTCTGTCGACTTCATAGAGGCTATCTTAGAGCACTTCGTGTTGTCAAGAGACCTACCCTAACAGCCAGGCACCGTATAATCAGGTTTCAAAGGGCTAATGACCATCGACGCTGGAACATGAGAAGCTGGCAAAATGTTCATTGGTCAAATGAGAGTCAGTTTCTGTTACGACCAATAGACGGCAGAATACGAGTTTTTCCGTGGAAATAAAACTGCTAATGACCAAAACAACATTTGCCCAACGACTGCATACGTTGCTGGTGGTGTTACAGTATGAGGTTTCTTCTCATACTGTTGTAAGGTGAGTATGCATATTCTGCAGGGTAACATGAACGGACAGACATACAGGGATTTGGTGCTTAGAAACACTGTAGTCCCTCATTTTGATAATCCTCCACTTGCTTCAAGACCCTTGTGCATGTACGACAATGCTAGACCACACAGGGAAAGGATTATAACCGAGTACAAAGAGTACAAAGAGCAAAAAGCCATTGACACTATCTTTTGGCCTTCCATGTCTCCAGACATGAACCCTATCGAACATGTCTGGGATGCCATTGGCAGAAATCTCAATCGCAGAGATCCACCTTTGCAAAATCTTAGCGATTTAAGAAGCGCAATTGTTGCTGAATGGAATAAATTTGCTCAACTAAAGTTCAGAAGGCTTGTACAGAGTATGAGACTCCGTAATATGGAACAGTACCTGAAGAGAGGGTGTTACACATCCAATTGACTCAAATATTGACATTAAATTTGCCGAACATACCAACGATTATTTGTAGAGACTTTTAATGATATTGGGTGACTAATTGTTGTAAAAAAATAACATCACAGTGAAACTTAAATTCCGTTTCTGATTTGTGTAATTTTCACTATTTCTATGAATGCAAATTTCAAATGCATAGAACCTGCATACGTGAACAAACTTAAGTCTACGGTTTGTTAATGATATATGTTAGCAAAATTGCTACATGAATATTTTCTCTTTTTCGAGGATTAACTGATTTTTTTAAATGAAAAAAATTTCGATGCAATAAAAATAGGTGGTGCTTAATTTTTGGCGGACTGTATATATAAAACCTTCTGCCGATCAGTTAATTATCGCTGCGATTTGCTTATTTTTTTTTTTTGCCGTATGATTTCATTTTGAGGTCTGTCTATTCGTATTTATATATATATATATTATATATAAACTCATTATAGATACAATGATTGAAATTTTGTACGCCAGACGCGCGTTTCGTCTACAAAAGACTCATCAGTGACGCTCGAATCAATTATATATAATATAATATGAAAAACAATATCTTCCATTTACTTTATCCCAAATGTATAATACACTGAATGGTAACATAAATCAATACTTATTATTACTGATGAACACTTGTCCTTTCATAAATTTAGTTAATAATCTGAGGTTTAAATTTCCTGAGGTCAAAGTTGACCTTCGATGGATTTTGCTGTAATTTTAGGGTTCGTTTTGGTCATACAGCTTTTCAATTGTTGCGGATCTTATATTTCCTTGATTTTCAAAGGTTTTGCTTTTAGTTTCCTGATGAAGAATAATCGAAGACGTATAAAACTTGTAAATGTAATATATAAACAGTTTTTAATTTACTAATCAAAAAACTTTTTTTTTTTAATTTAACAAAACAAAACATTTACCACGCATGGATAAAAGAGTTACTTCTAATTTTTAATCTCGGTTGAAAACTAAACTTTACGACAAAACTGATGATTTCAGCTTTCCATTTGTTAATCTATTTTTATTATGCTACAACATTCCAGCAGAGCCTGCATATGATATATGTAACTCTCAGTTAATACGATATTCCAGAGTCGTGGTTTCCTTGATAAAAGGTTGCTGCATACAAATCAACGCCTGGGGTCCTTTAAAATTGTCTTTAATTATACATACATGTCTTTTAAGATTAGTCAAATTAAAAAGCATTATCCTAACCTGCGGGTATGCACATCCTAAGTCGTAGCTTACTGATCCTGAGTGAGAAATGAACTTGTGTTTGTAGCATACCTATAAGTAAAAAAATACTATATGAAAAAACGACGAGCAGTGCATGCTGCCTTAATATAATTAGTCATTAACCGCAGTCCTTTAACAAACATTAACAATTTATGTTCCTTTTATAAATTTGATGTTGATGATAGATTTTAGGAAATGTACATTAGATTAGTTCACTTTATATCATCGGGACAATTTAAAGCTTGATGATCGTCTGTTGTTGAAAAACGTGTTTGCAGATTAAGGTGTATTTTCTGTTTTTCTGTGTTGTTATGTTGTTTTGCTCTTTGAAGACCGCACGGTCCGAAAATCCTTTTCATATTTTTTTCATTTTACTTGAATTCATGCCTATGCATATGATTGTCTAAATGGGAGTATTCATTTCTGTACTTGATTTCAACAAATTTTCTCTTTTCTTTATGTTTTGCCCATTTTATCTGTTTGTTATATTTAAGCACACTATTATTATCTATTCTTAATTTTAGTGGTTTACTTTCTCTATTCTTATTATTTTCCCTTTTTTGTTTGGCTCTTTATATTGTCTTTTTGTTATCCTATCAAAATTCTAAAAAAAATAACATGTATATTAAATCTATTGTTTACGTATTTTAACATATCGCAACCGCAGTTGTAACACTTTTCATTGTTTATTACAGAGTTCATTCTATGAGTTAATATAGTAAACATTGACAATGGTTTGATTTTTATAGTTACATGGGTATTAAGCGTTAACTGTATGTCGGCTCCGTCCCAACTCCCAACTCCCAATTGTCCTTGTTAATATTTTAGATTTGATTTAAGATATTGAAAAAAAATCCCTAAAATATGATATGAAAGTAAGTTTAAAGTATACAATGTCATTCTCTTACATCCTTGAATTATTATTACCTCATTATCTGTGCAAGTCAGCGTATAATGACAGCTTGACGGGCTTGCAACATTAGTGCATGATAGACAATCTTGTCCACAAACTGTAAAACAAAAATAGTTAAACCAAATAAATGTGCACTGACCAAAATGTCTTGAACTGTGCACCATATTCTGCATTTTCAGATCTACTTTGATGCAAAGTGTTTCGTTAACTGGCGTTTGCATTTATTCTTAAGTACGGCTGGTCAAAACGTCTAACAAAGTTTGGCAGAAATGTAAAAGCTGGCTAGGTACATGTACAGTTTTTATGTACATGTTTTTTTCATTTTAAGCATCACTCTTCACCAGAACGTTTTTGCGACCTGATTTTCAATAGTATCCTTGGGAGGAACGAGTTAACACATTGAGTATTCAATGTTGACGGGAGTTAACTATCTAAGTTGCCTAAAAATCGGACAGTGGTGAAAACATGTCAAAGAAAAACCAGCTCAAGATTACATTAATTAAAAAATGGTGCACGAATATGACATTCGTTTCCCTTTCCTGTTTTGGTATTTCAAAATATATTTTGGTTAAATGAAAAAAAAAATGATCAATTAAGGGGAGATAACTCCTTAATTTTTTTATCATTCTAACCAAAAAATATCTAGAGATTTCTCGCATTATCAGACATGCAGAAACAAAAGACCTACCATCATTTCTAACTCAGGATGAAGGTAACTTCAACTAGGATGATTAGGTCGGCGGGTTTATTTTTTTTTCGACCATGTTTTGAAATTCTTCTAAATTGCCTGATTCTTACACAGACTGGCTTAAAAGATGAAAATGAATAATTAGTACTCACAGGCATAGTGTAACTGTGTCAGTAAGGCAACGATAAGAAGTGAATCTATGAAAAGAAATAAATTGCATATCATGCTGATAACACCATTTTATTGGTAAACTATTTATACAATTCTTTCATTGAACGTATTATGTGAAGGCGTTTTGTGTATTTTCGTTGACAGGTAAGTGTCATCTTTAGACACGATGCTTTTCGTATAAATAATTTCAGTTTTAGTTTGAAAATGCCCATGTTACTCTTTCGTCCTGAATTTGCACGAAACATTTGATACTGGACTTTAAGGCACCAACAATCAATCAATCACTCAATCACTACCTACATTACTCACTGATGTTAAAACAGTCGTTTCGATTTAAAAGATACTGGTTCAAGCTGTTGTTTAAAAGTGGTCCAATGGGAGTAACATTGATGTTGATTTACAATGGAAAGGAAAGGAAAGAAAATCACTCTACGCATTTATAAACACAAGGGCAAATAAACGCTTCTATGACTATCGTATTGCCAATATTTGTTTACTCATATTTGGTTATTTCTACTAGGTAAGGTAATTTTCGTCATCGCTACTAGATAAAGTAATTTTCTTCATCGCTACTAGATAAGGTAATTGTCTTCATCGCTACAAGATAAGGTCATTTTCTCACGCTACTAGATACCTAAGGTAATTTTCTTCACTGCCACTTTAGGTAAGGTAATTTTTTTCATCGCTAATAGATAAGGTAGTTTCTTCACTGCCACTAGATCAGGTAATTTTATTCATTGCTACTAGATAAGGTAATTTTCGTCACCGCTACTAGATAAGGTAATTTTCTTCATTGCTACTAGATGAGGCAAATTTCTTCACCCTACTTGATTATGTAATTTTCGTCATCGCTACTAGATAAGCTAATTTTCTTCATTGCTACTAGATGAGGCAATTTTCTTCACCGCTACTTGATAAGGTTGTTTACGTCATCGCTACTAGATAAGGTAATTTTCTTCATTGCTACTAGATGAGGCAATTTTCTTCACCCTACTAGATAAGGTAATTTTCTTCATTGCTACTAGATGAGGCAATTTTCTTCACCCTACTTGATAAGGTAATTTTCGTCATCGCTACTAGATAAGGTAATTTTCTTCATTGGTACTAGATGAGGCAATTTTCTTCACCCTACTTGATAAGGTAATTTTCTTCATCGCTACTAGATAAGGTAATTTTCTTCATCGCTACTAGATAAGGTCATTTTCTCACGCTACTAGATAACTAAAGGTAATTTTCTTCACTGCCACTAGGTAAGGTAATTTGCTCATCGCTACTTAATAAGGTAATGTTTTTCACTGCCACTTGGTATGGTAATTTTTTCATCGCTACTAGATAAGGTAATTTTCGTCACTGCCACTAGGTACGGTAATTTTTTTCATCGCTACTAGATAAGGTAATTTTCTTCATCGCTACTAGATAAGGTAATTTTCTTCACCTCTACTTGGTAGGGTAATTTTCTTCACCGCTACTTGATAAGGTAATTTTCTTCATCGCTACTAGATAAGGTAATTTTCTTCATTGCTACTAGATGAGGCAATTTTCCTTACCGCTACTTGATAAGGTAATTTTCTTCATCGATACCAGAGAAGATCATTTTTTTCATTGCTACTAGATGAGGCAATTTTCTTCACCCTACTTGATAAGATAATTTTCTTCATCGCAAATACCTTGATAAGGTAATTTCTCTTTATCGCTACAAGATAAGATAATTATTCATCGCAAAAAATTTTTACATGCCATGCTTGTGTATCATCCTGATAGTCTCAATTGCGTTAATTATTTGTTCAGGAAAAATAATTAATTTATCTATTAAACGTGTGCTGCTGCTTTACAAATGAAAGACAGAATGAGGGTTGAACGAAACTGTCCGTTATATCTTTCATCAACTAAATCTCTTATCCTTTGCGATTACAACGAGGTATATCAATAGGTCCTATTTTCTCAAATTAAGGTTATGACTCTCTACAATGAGCGTTCGTTTAGCCTTTAGTTAGGGATGAAAAAAATTCGCAACAACGTCCGATTCAAATGAGAACGTTAAGTACAACTTATATTTTACCTGGACTAAGTCAAACCATCTCGTAGACCTTCGTTTTAAATATTTTGCATTCTCTTTCGCTGTGAATGTTTGGTCGGTAGAAACACATACTAAACCCCTAACAAACTTAAAACTGACAATGAACACTGGTATTCATATGCAGCTTGATAAACGAATGTAGGAGGTACGTATATCCGAATGCAAAGCCTGCTTATTGACTTACTGCAACATGTATTGTACTAACTTACATAATGGCATGGTCGTGTTTTGTATGACTGTGTTATCTGCGCGATAACAAACTTTGACATGTTAAACTTAGACTGATAAAGGATTTCTGACTTTTAAGGTGAAAGAGTTTACGTGTAATGGTATCTCACCTAATATAGAAAACTAAATACACAACATGACGATAAAATCAAACCTGTTTAAATCATCAAATCATTTATTTAAAGTTAAAATCGGGTATACATACAACATAAGCTCTGTAGAGCTTTAAATCGACATACATATGATAAAAACAGGACATAAAACAGAAAGCACATGATGCAAATCATTAATACTGGTATCAAAGCACAGCAAATTATAGCCAATAATAAGCCAATCAAAGCATATAAAAGCAAACATTACATGCAGACAAACTGACATTCATGCAGTAGCTATTAATCACTAAGAAATTTTAAGCATTTACAATTAAAAGGTACGCAATAGATATAAAAGCCAGAGTATTAGGATAGATATATGTTCTATACCTCACTAAGATCTACAGGAGAAATACGGACACGGGCTGTCCTCCAAGTTTCCAAATAAACTTTTAAACTGCCCCAAAGCATTTCTGACATCAACATATTCAGAAGCTCGTTCCAGAGGCTAGTTTCTGCATATCTGAATAAGTGCAGCCCATGGGTAGTTGTCTTTACCCTGGGAAAATCAGCTATATTGTCATTTACAAAAAAAAAGAGTAGCTTCATTTCTTTATTTCAATAAAATCAAGTAAATACAGTGGACATTGTTTATCAATAGTTTCATATACCTCTATTGCTACCATTCTAATTCTTTTGATTTTTAAATTTGGTAATTTTGATTTAGTTAAAAGCCGTTAATATGTGCAACAATGATCCTCATAAATAAATCTTTTAGCACGTTCCTGTATTTCTCCATTTTTCAGGTATTAAAATCAACACAAAAATGCCATACCATTGGACAATTATTAAAATTTGACATTATAAATGAATAGTAAATAGTAAAAATAAGGAGATGAGGTATGATTGCCAATGAGACAACTATCCACAAAAGTTTAAATAAAGTGGATGTAAGCAATTATAGGCAACCGTACTGCCTTCAACAATGAGAAAAACCCATACCGTATAGTCGGCTATAAAAGGCCCCGACATGAAAAATATGAAACAATTTTATTGAGAAAACTAACGGCCTAATTTATAACAAAACAATTAACGAAAAACAAATATGACAGACATGAACCAACGACCACCACTGAACTACAGGCTCCTGACTTGGGACAGGCACATAAAGAATGTGGCGGGGTTAAACATGTTTGTGAGCGCTCAACCCTCATCCTAACCTGGGAGTGTTGTGTAAAAGCACAACATAAAAACAAACTATAAAAATCAGTTGAAAAAGGCTTCACTCATCAGATCGACACAAAGCAGAAAAACAGAAAACATAAACACAGACCGGGTATTTATCCATCCCTCTTCCCTAACAACAAAAAGGACACTAAGTACAGATCTGAGAGTACTCGCAGTTACTGACAGCTAGTTCAAAGCCAATAACAATTAATAAAAAGTATCATGAATCTAGGACTAAAATATCAATCGGTACACATCCAAACATCCAATGGATTTAGTATAAAGACGTCATTAACATCAGAGAAAAACATGACCTTGTGCCTTATTTCGTTAAATTTTTACCAATAAATTTTTAAAAGTACATGTAATTGTCATGATGTCTTTTTGCAATATCAGAAATATGAGCATCAAACTGATAATCAATAGTTACACCAAGTAGTTTAACTTCTTTTTCATATTGTATAATATTGTCATCTGAATTAAAAGAAATAATTTCATTTTGTAATTGCAGATTTCTTTCCAATGGCAATTGGCTGAAACTTGTCAGGCTTGGCCTTCATATGATTTAAACTAAACCAATTAATAATCTCTCAGCTTTCTTTTTCTAA